GCTGTGCGCGACGAGCGACTGCGCCGCGAGCACGCATAGCGATGCGACTCGCACCGGGCGGACGTAGAGGAGCGCGAGGGCGAGAAACGTCGACACAGAGACACCGAGAAGGAGCGCGGCTGCCCATCGCCGACGGTAGCCTCTCATGCACGTGGAAGGCGCAGAGGCCGCTCCGCCTCCGGTCGGCGAAGACAACATCTCCGACACCTCCGATCGGCCGTCTGCCATCGGCTCCAATTCCTCTTGATATGCACCGCCGTTCTCCGCTCGTGGCAACAGCCCCTCGAGAATGCCACCTACCCGCCTTCCCATGTCGACGCCAACGGCGACTGCGGCAGCCGCCTCATTCCGCAGCACCGTTACTGCTGCAAAGCCACCCGAGTACAAGCCCGACATCACGGGCTGGTACGAGGCTGGGTCGAAGAGCGCGCGTCGCTGCCGCAGCACAGAGAGTCCCCGCTTCACCTCTCCCAGACCGGCAGACGAAAAGGCCTGGAAGACCGTCAGCGTGAGCGTGAACGAGGCTCCATAGCAGAGAATGATTGCGTCGATAACAAGAGGGGCACAGGAGAAAAGCTGGACCCAGTGTCGAGCCGCTCTCTCTCCCTTCTTTTGCGCGCTCGGCGACGACGCGAATGCGGGCTCGTATGACGATGAGCGTGATTTCAACATGTCGGAGCCGCGTCCTTTCGTCGATTTCGGCCGATATTTTGAAGAAAAAGCCGCTTTCTCAGGATATCTTTAAAATCGGCGGCCTGCCGCCGCTCTCTGCCCTCTCGGCGGCCGCCACAGCGAGCACCCACCCGCAGCCCGGGGGCCACGCGGCCGGGCACCAAGCCTTCGATGGCGGCCTCGCCCGCCATCGACCTGCGAGAGCCGCTCGCGGCTCTGTTCAAGCGCGCGGGCGTCGCCGAAAGCCTCTACCGCAGGTATGAGGGGCGGCTCGCGGAGCTGGGCGTTGGCGATGCCGGCGACCTCCTCGAGGAGGTCGCTGAGAAGGGCATCGGCTCGCTCGACATCCACGACCGCCAGGCGGAGAAGCTCCGCCGAGCTCTTCTCGGCCTGCGGGGCTGGGGGGACGCAGCTGCGGTCTTGGCATCCCTCAGCGGCTTGTCGCTGGGCGACACCCCGGCTGGGGTGGCGGCTGGCGATCAGGCGGCTGGTGGCGGGGCGGCGGCTGGCGGCGAGGGCCGCGGCGGCGCGCGCCCCGAAGAGGCGGACGGCGGTGCCTGCGACGCGCAGGCCGCTGAAGGTGGGTCCGGAGGTGGGACCGAGGGATCCAGTTTGGACCCCTTGGAGCCCGCGCTGCCGGAGAGCGGCGATGGGACGATTGCCGCCGCGGGGGGGGAGGAGGAGGTCGAGGGCGGGCGGAAGGCGCCGCGGCGCCGCCGAGGGCGGCGCGGCCGTGGCGCCAGGGGTCGCGGGGGGGGGCTCGAGAAGGTGCCCGACACCGCGGCGGGTTTGGCTGCTGAGCGGCCCAACCAAGTGGAGGAGGTTTCCACCGGCGGCGCGGCGCCGGCGGAGGGGGAGGAGGGCGGCCCGCCCTCGCTCGCTGCTGATGGACCTGGACGTGCCCCATATTGGGGGCCCGCCGGCATTACCCCGCCCGAGACGCCGGTCTCGGACGCTGCCGGCGCGCCCCACCCTTTCAATCTTTTAGATGAGGCCACGGGTTCTAAGGCGGGCGAGGCGGCTGCTGAGGCGTTGGCGGAGGCGGCGGTCGACGCTGTCTACGGGGCGCTCGTAGCGGCGACGCTCGAGGAGTGGGCGGGCGCGAGCACGGACAACCCCGTCTCCGCGGAGGACGCTCGAGGCCCAGGCCTCGAGTGTCAGGATTGCTTTGAGAACTTTTACAAGGAGTACGACGTGGAGCCTTGGCTCTGGCGCCGGGCGATGCGTGAGGGCTGGTCGGAGCTGGGGGGCTGGTCGCGAGAGGAGATGGAGGCGGCGGAGGAGGAGATGCGGCGCGGCGAGGGTTCTGATGCCTATGGGCTTCAGATCTCTCAGTTAGGCGAGTGGGTCTGCGATGCTTGCTTGGAGGGCTATTTGGGGGGGGGGCGTTGGCGACTACTCGGAGCTGCGCAGCGGCTACGTTGCGCCGTATCCGAGTAACCCCTGGATAGGTCGCTCGCGCGACCTCTCCTGGATGCGCAAGGGGCCCATAGGGGTCACGCGGAGGGAGGCGCTGTTAGCGGCGGAGGAGGCCAAGGCGGCCGCGCGGGCGGCGGAGAAGGCGGCGCGGGCAGCGGAGGGGGGGAAGGGCGGCGGCAGCGGGCGGCAGTCCCGCGAGGCACGCCGGCGGAAGGGTTCGTCTTCGCGGGGCGGGGTGCGCACTGCGCGCCGCGAGGATGAGGAGCCTGAGCCAGGGGAGGGTTGGGAAGGGGGGGCGAGGCCGGAGGAGTATGACGGCCTCTTCGACGGCCCATAAGGGGCCGTTGTCTGCTGTGCCTTTTGTGGTGCTAGTTCGTGCCAGTCTGCTGTGAGAGGGGCTTGTATTCGTAGAATTCTATTTGCCTAGAATTTGCGATGCGCCGGCCGCGTGCCGCCATCCCATCCCTCCCTTGGGTTGTCCGTTTTCTTTCTTTTTGCGGATCGAAGGGGACCGGACGAATGAGTGAGGTAGTGCACCAGACCTGTCCCGGATCCTGCTGAACAAGCTCCTCTTGTAGCTCGATCGGTCACACCGCCATCGCCGTCGGGGAGAGGGGGGACGACACTGCTTCGGCAGCGTGCACCTCGATCCTGTACCGTGTTTGTTATGACCCCCCCCCTGGACCCCAATGAGCGAACCAGCGAGGGAGGGCGAGACGATCGAGGGGTCCCGTACCATGCGGAATCGACCCTATCCAGTGCTCAAGAAGTGCTCAAGAGCGTCCATAGACACCTCACATGACCCCACACACGGTCTCGTCCATGCCTTGCGACTGGCGGCGAGATTGCTAGAGGCGGAGCGGCCTGCTCTAGCCATTTACCTTACCTTACCTTAGTCCTTACTCATGCGCGTCCGGACGCGGCCCCACCCGCGCCTGTGCCTAAGGGGGTTCTCTTGAGCTACGAGAGTGGTGGTGGCAGCGGAGGTGAGTGAGAGGTGGCAGCGGAGGTGGCGCGGGTTGCGGTGGCGGTGTGGCACGGCCGTGGCGACGGCGGTGGTCTCGTAGGACCTGGCGGGGTTGAGGAGGGCAGCTGACGGTACTTGCCGCCGAGGATCTTCATCACGAGGGCGGGGAGCGTGTCTGCCGCGAAGGGGTACCTAGGTGCATGCCGGACGCGTCCACGGGCCAAGGACGGGAAGCAGCGGGTTGGCGGGTTTGCTACCGAAGGGCGCACAGCTCAAACAGCAGCACGCCTAATGTAAGAGGTCACGATGGACGTCTGCGCATTCAGGTGAGAGATGGGCGATGGGACGTCCGTCTCTCGAATCGACGTCGGGCGATCGCTCCGAGGTGACGAGTGGATCTCGAATCTTCGTCTGCATGGGAGCGGTGTGGAGCGGCATGGACTAGGCGAGGCACCGAGCGACCACATGTCGGCGCGCGTGTTGTAGGTGGA